GGCAGGATAATGCTGTAGCTAGAATTTCATAATCAGTAGCTTCTGTGGGTAATTTGATGAAATGTTGGATCTGTCATGCTAAACTCAGATCTTTACATGACCCAAAGGATCCTTTAGTCCACCCAGTGGATAACTTTGGCGACATCCCTAATTTCAAAAAGTACAGGGGATCCTTTTAATAGAGTCAGTCTTCTAGATTCACTTGTCCTCACTCCCTGCTTTAATCTAACCCAGTCATGGGATACTAGATAATAGAATTGCTCTATACTATTTGAACGGGGAGGTGTCTGTGCAGTTGCTAACACCTCTTGTTGCACATGGATGAACACGCTAGGTATCACAGGGACCCAGCTGCAAAAAATTAACAAACAGGCTACTATTCAATTTTAGCTGGTTTGGATCATGGGGACCCTGGCTAAGGGGCATACTCCAAACTCTTGATAGTACCCTCCTGAGAGTCATAATAGTAGCCTCCCTGGTGTACTATATCCTCTCAGAAAAGTCTTCCTAAATCATCTCTCTCCAGCTGGAATGATGAAAACTCCAAGAAATGCACAATAATGACACCTTAACCTATGAATGATGGATTGAGACTGAAAACCCAAAATGATGGTGACCGAGAGTAACGCCGACACTGTAAATTTTAGCCACACTCTCACCTACGTGAGTGCCTAACCAAAAGGGGAGAATGGTTAAATAACATTTATAGGAGCCCATTGGGTTGGGCTGAGCTCCCGCACTAGGCCCAACAGACCAAACCAAAACGGAATCACTCTTGCCGAAGTTTCACGCCACCGAGTCAAAACTAAGTTGTTCATCTGACATTCCCAGAAATCAGAAGAGAGAGATAATAGCCAAATCCCCAAACATGCCAGTTTTAGGCAACATGATAAGGGAATCCCCTCTGCTTCAACCTTTACAAGGGATTGAAATGACCAATCTGCTTTTTGTTCTCTGTTTCTGCTTTCTGCAGCCCTTTTAGGTCTATAAAGCCAACTTCCTCTGCTCAGCTCATCAGAACACTCATTCTGTTTTATAGAATGAGGTGTTGCCTGATTCTAGAATCACAAATAAAAGCCAATTAAGATGTTTAGATCGGTTGCATTTTGTCTTTTGGCAAGTAACAGGATGAGGAGTAGAGAGGCCCCTTCTCTAAGTGCTCCACTGGTAAAGCAAAGCTGCCTTTAAGTAAAGTGCTTTGCTGTCAAAGAGGACAGAGTTTGGCAAGACAGTCTTTTTGAATACTGTCACCCTGAAGGCCCGACACCAAAATGATCAGCAGTATCAGTCTAGCTCTACCATCTGGGAGAAAAAATCTTCCTGGTGCAAGTGTTGCCCTGGGCAGAGTAATTTCTCTACCAACAGCAGAATAAATGGGCAAACGGAGAGGGGGAGGGTGGGAGGCAAGAGAAGCCAGGGCAGCTGCGAATTTGGAGTCATGGGTGAGGGTCCCCTGTCGTGGGGATCCTGGTGCCCCTGGGGCTCCCCATGTCTCCTCTCCGGGCTTCTGCTTCCTTAAGGGTCAAACCAGGCCCAGGAGGGACAGTCTCTAACGCCCGTTTCAGGTCTGACCACCATCCAGGAGCTGGATAGCAAACAGCTCTCGACCAGAAAAATGGCCGTGCGGCCTCTGCGTGTTAAGCGAGCCTGGGCAGAGGCACAGACACCGAATCCACCAAGAGCCAGTCAGGTCTAGTGGTCCAGTGACCAGATCCTGCCTGTCCTCAGCTCCAGACCCCCCACCCAAGCGTCCGGGAGTCCTCCCGACACAGAATCAGCGTGTAACACCCCCAGCTAGTCAGTGCTCCGCAGTCACCACCAAAGCCCTTCCTCCCTCCTTGCTGACGGGCAGTGAGGTCACCGGAAGGACAAAATGCCTTCCCTACCCCTCACACCTGACTGACGCCCCCAGTCTGAGTCAGGAGGAGTCACAGCACCCGCAGAAGGTTCTGTCGATCACATTCTCATTTGCAATCCTGTGAGGCTCAGGCCAGCGGCTGCCGCAGCGTTCACTGGGCTCCTACTCTGGACCCGGTCTATGCCAGGCACCACAGGGGCACAAGCAGGAGACACTGTCTGTGCCCTTGAAGAGAAAGGAAAGCAAAACCAACACTGCTCACTGTCACCCAAACATACCTGCCTTACAAATGTCATCTCCACAGCTCTGCCATTTTCCCACCTGGAGTTCCCTTTCTCCCCCACCCACCTCTCTACCTGCCCAGGCTCTCGAGAGTTAGAAAGAGCTGGGGTCAATAACCTCCTTCATTGATTGAGCCCAGGAGTTCAAGGTTACAGTGAGCTATGAGCATGCCACAGCACTCCAACCTGGGGGACAGGGCAAGACCCTATCTCTGAAAAATAAATAAATAAAAACCTCCTCCAGCATCTGTGTAATTGTGGCAAGTTACTTATCTGTTTACAAAAGAAGACAATATCCATAGCTCAGATCTTTACTCAGGTAAAGAGTGTACATAATAACAGCCTGTCCTTAGCAAAGTGCTAGCATAAGGCCAGTGTGTAATAAATAACTACTTGAATGAAGGCTTCTGGTGACCAGATTAGCCTGTGACTTTCCCCTTCCCTGAATTCCTACAACAAGAAATGGCTGAGCCACTCCTTTGGCCCTTTTCAAACACAGCTTCTTACTGTTGCCAATTTTCCTTCTTGTGTGCAGCTCATTTCCCCAGCTGCAATGCAAACAATGCTTTGTCACTCAACAAATATTTGCTGATTGATTAGCCAGTGAATAGCAATGAAGGTCAAAATCAGACACGATTGATTTCCCAAACGCATGGTGAGACAACAGCAGCTGCCTGGAATAGGAAGGGGCAAGCTAGGTCCTCAGAAATGAGATCTCTGCCCCAGGGCAGCAACTGCCCTAGAGAAGCTACTGCTCAAGTCACTGACGTGAGCCCCATCCAGTCAGAGTAAATATGTGAAGCCCACTGAGCATAGTTGCAAAACGCTTCTCTCTCCCCACGACCTTCCACACTCTCTCTCTGCTCCTGCGTCGAGACACTTGTACCATCAGCAGAGGGCACGTGTCATACTCGCATAGCCCAGCGTGGGATGAGAGCACCCCTCCGCAGGCCCACAATTAAACTTTCTTGAGGGACCTCAGAACACAGAGATGAGGCAAGACCAACTCTAGCCACTCAGCAGGGCCTCACCAGGAAACACTCCTTTGCTGTGGAGTGGAGAACATTCTTCATCGCTGCAGGCCGACACCCATTTCTGCCAGTGCCCTCCCCCTACAAGACCAGCCTTAGGGAGCTGACTCACACCAACGGATAACAGAAGACCTCAGTTTCCACTTAAATCTCCCACCTCCCATTCACCCTGGTTCACCTCCACAGACTTTGATGCTTCCCTTTTCCCTTCAGAGGTTAAATGTTGCTTTTGTTTTATTTCTTTAGGGAAAGATTCCATGCACTGGGGAATCCCTTTTGGAAGTGGCAACTGTCATCCAGGCGCACACTAGGTCAGTACCTAGATATGCAATTCATAGGAAAACTCCGGGTTGCAAGAAGCCAAACACATGAGTCAGGTGGAAGCTAATCTTTCCCTCCAGCACTCTCAAGTAGGAAGAATCTTCTAGAATGAGTCCACCTGCAGCCATTAAACACCTGTTATAGCCTCAAAGTGGAAAGTGTTGGGGAATTTTTATGAAGTTCCAACTCACAATGTCCCCTGAGATTACCTCCCTATACGTGCGTGTTCCAGTTCCACAATCCATTATTTTCCTCCCTCCTTCCCTGTTCAGATGTGTTGACATCACTGAAATGGTGTGAAAGGCTGCTCACGGGGGCATGTGGGCGAGTGTAATTGGAGTTCATAAGTTTTGTTTTAAAATAATTTTCCAGGACTATATGGCTAAAAGACACACACATCTTCCACCTAGCTACTTCCGGAATCTCTGCAAGTTGCTCAGGAAATGGAGGCTGAGTATGAAAAGTGACATGTACAGATGCACTATTCTACCACAAACAGTTGAGCTTACCAAGAAATACCAATGGCGCAGAGGGGAACAATGGTTCCAGTTCTCCTTTCTCTAGAAAGGGGCCTATTTCCTAAGATGCCCACAGTTCTCATTCAATGACCATTTCAGGGCAGGAGCTCTTGCTAGCGCCCCAGCACCACAATCAGGAAGTAGCTCCATTCAGGGGCAGCAAAACAGAGACAAATCACCATCACCACCCCACTCCTGGTCCCCCCACACTCACTACCTGGGTTAGACAGATGTGTGACACCACAGGGATCTTTACATCGTAGAAAGGAAACTATGAGATAATGTAAGTCCAGTACTTAGTAAGGTGTCTGACAATAAGCACTCAGTAAATATTAATTACTATTATTACATATCCTCAGCTCTAAGTCTTACGTTTTTCAAAATTTAGCATGTCTGTAACATATACCTTAAAATCTCTATACATTTAGTGACTTTCTTATCTTTCTACCCCTCGGGCTGTCACAAAATGAACGGTATGTCTCACAATTGATGGAATCTTGGAATCAAGGAAATACGGTTTTAGTGCCCAAACCAGTGAGTGGGAATATGGAACAAGGGCCGAACAAACACCAAGGGGCTCTGGGTTCGTGGGGTTAAAACGTAAGGGTGTGAGAGTGCTCAGGGACAAGGAGAAGAGCGACGAGGATGTGGCCCAGAAGCTAATGAACTGGAGGCGGCAAGTCAGGAGAGGCCTGGAACAGACAGGAAAACTGCCAGGCGAGCCTACCCACATCAAAGATAAAGATGAGAAAGAACGTCTATGTACCACCTGGGTCAACTAGCCTAAGGGATGGAGGAGGGTTGTGGGGGCGGCAAAACGAATGTCAGTTTCCTTTTCTCCCCAGCGCGACCCACGGCAGCTGGCAAACTTGGTAGGAAGGCAACGTGAGTCCCTCCCTGGGCGCGAGGAGGAAGGGGATTCTCACAAGGCTGGACGAGAGGAAGCCCTAAAGGTGTCCGAGGAGCATGAGGAGGAACAAAGGAGACCCGCTTGCAGGGATGGGGACCGTAACCCAGCAGGGGACGAAGAGGGCACGCTGAGTAAGTCTGGGGGCCCAGGCCGCGGGGAGGGAGAGCAGCCCGGGATGCGGGCCAAGAGAGAAGACAAGGGAGGAAGGTGAAAGTGGGGGGCGTGGGACGGGCAGCGAGGCAGAGGCGGGCGGAGGCGATAGGACGGCGGGGGCGCGCTCCCGAAGGGAGGGGCGCTCAGTGGAGCAGGTGGAGGGGGTCGGCCCGGGTTGGCAGGAAGCGGCGGGGCACGGGGGGCGCGGGCCGCCCCCGGCCTCTCACCTTTGACGTCGTTGGCCAGCGCCTTCCACGTCGGGGCGAAGGCTATGCAGTGTCCGCACCAGGAGGCGAAGAACTCCACGGCCCAGGCGCTCCGGGAGTCCAGCACGGCGCCGCGCACCGTGTCCGCCTGCAGCAGCGTCAGCGGGTCGGAGGGCGAGTAGAGCGCCGAGCGCCGGGCCGCGCCAGCGCCGGGCACCGCGAGCAGCAGCAGGAGCAGCAGCAGCAGCAGCGACGGCGGCGGCCTGCAGGAGCGGCCGCACCTCCTCATCCTTGGCGGCGGCGCCCACCACTGCGCTCAAGTTTCGGCTGAGTGAGAGCCGGGCGGCGCCGCGGCACCTCCTGCCTCCGCGGGCGAGGAGGAGCCACGTGGCCCCGCCCCGGGCCCCGCCCCGAGGCCCGGCCCCGCCTCTGGCTCCGCCCCCGCCTCTGGCTCCGCCCCCGCCGGCCGGCCCAGGGGGCCCCGGAGCAGGCTGGGCGCCGGAGCTGCGCGACCGAGCTGGCCCAGGTGGCGCGGGCACCTTTCGCTGTTGCCTGCGGCCTCGGAGCCGCGCTGGCCGGGTTCCCGCCTCAGGCCCCCGGAGGCGGGGAGCGCGGCCCAGTCCCTGGAACCAGTGCTCAAACGAAGGGGGTGGGGCGCACGCCGAGCATGGGTCCCAACACGGGTCGCGATCGCATTCGGCGAGGTCATTTGGCCTTTCGGGGCCCCCGTATCCAACGGAAGAGGCATCCTGCGGAATAGATGATGCCTGTTTATACCGCTCCAGGAAAGTTCCGGGGATCCCACCAAGAGATAAGACGTTGTGAGTTAGAAGACAGGAGGGAGAGGGTCGCGTGGTAGAATGGTCTCTGAGTCTGTGACCGCCATGACCCCCCGGGATCCGATGCCCCCACCCCTGCTGAAGCCTGTGACCATCTGAAGGGAAACATTATTTGAGTGCTTCATAGTGATGGATATGAACCATCTGAAAACCACTGGTCTAGAATTAAGAGCAGAAAACATAAGAATCGCAACTTGCCCTGCTTGACCTTCCTGGAACTTCCTGGAATGAAAAGGTGGCAGAAAAGGAATATACTCAGAAATGGGTGTCGAGCGGGGAAGGGGTGCCGAGGAAAGCCCACTGTGGGCTGGGCTGGGTTGGCGTGCTCATTACCGTGGAATCGGGCTTTCCTCAGCACCCACGTCTGGCCACCCTCATAAGGTTGTTAGGGCGATTCCTCCAATCAGGCCTCCCGGGAGCCCCCGTCCCCCATGTCTGACTCCTCAGCCTACTCAGAGCTCTCCATACTCACTCGAATATTCCTGTCACAGGTAACTTGATCAACTAATCTTGTGTTCATGGGGACTAAGGTGTTAATAGATTTTCCCTGGTCACCTTTCCTAGCTCCATTGTTTTGAGCGAGTTACTTTAAGGGAAGAAGGTGCTCCTCAGAGGGTTGTCACAAGTGATCTTTTTCTTTTGTTGTCTGCTGGGTTAGCCCACCTCACCTATAAGCCCTCTGAGACTGGATTTGTTACTTGTTTATGGAAAATTTATTGAGTAGTGTTGTGCCAGGCACTGTTCTAGGTACCAAGAACAAGGCGGTAAACAAAATATAGACTCTAGGGATGTGGAACTTATGTTCTAGTGGGGATAATGGGAGGACATGTAAGTAAATGTAGATCAGATGGTGACAAATGTTTATGAAGAAATATAGACTAGGGTAAGAATTGAGTGACAGAGGAGGTGCCATTTTAGACTTGGTGGTCAGGACAGGCCTACATCTAATATTTGCAGGGACTGAGGCCATAGTACAAATGGAAGACCACATATCATGTTTACATATTTAAAAACTATAAACCAAATACATAAACTGTTATGTAAAATTCCTATCCTTTTATCTTGTCGCATATACCTTCATAATAATCTGGAAGGCCAAATTTAGGTTTAGAATTCTGGACTCTTCTGAGATATGCACTGGAATATGGTGGCTTGGTGGGTAACTGGTCCCTGGCCTTTAGCCTTCCTTCTCTTTATCTCCCAGCTCTGTCCCATACTTCAAGTGGCCTTGTGCCCACACCTGTAACAACCTTGTCTGTACATCTGAGCTTTGTCCACATCTATAAATAGCCTCTCCTTGACCACTCCTTGCCTCCTCAAGAGGATAGAGCTTGGCAAAAGCCAACGCAGGCTGTAGCTGCCAGCCTTTTGCTATTGGGACAGTGAGTTCTAGGGTTTCAGGTATTCACAGTGTGATCTAAGAAGGAGAGAGGGGCAGGAGCTTTGGGTGGGTACATTCCCTCAGCCCATGAACTTCCTGCTCTGTGGAAAGGTGCATGGCTGGAAGAGGACCAAACCACTCAGAGCCCAAGTTTGAGGCTCTTCTTGCTCCAATCTTAAGGCAGTTCCAACCAGGTTAACATTTGAGCCAAAGACCTGAATGAAGTAGGGTAGGGAACGAACGCTGTGGCAACCTGGGATAAGAGCATTCCAGGAAGAGGTTCAGACGTTAGAGTTTTTGCTCCCTTCATGTGTTCATGTTCTCTCTGTCCAGAGTCTTAAACTGCAGAAAGAAATTACGTGTTGACCAATTGGAGTGTTAGTGCCTTCCAACACTGCCTCCCACCTCCAACCCCAGCCAATTCCATTTGCGCCCTGTGACTCAGTCCCTGTACAGCTTCGTTGCCCCACTGTCCTCACTCTTAGCATCCACTAGGACCAGGCCCAGCACAGGGTCATTGGGATGGATGATCCCTTAGGAACCTTGGATTCCAGGGTTTGGAATTACTCCAGTAGCTGGATCAGGCATCAGTAAAGTTTGGCACCTTCAAATGTCTCTATTGTTAAACAGTGTTGTAGAATGTCTGCCAAACCTGCTGAGAGCCTGAGAAAGACACCTCAGATGAGTACACAAAGACTTGCTTGTTTGCATATCTGTTTCAGAACATTGGAAATATAAAAGAATACAAACTATTTGAATGGGGCAGAGAAAGTTTCTTGGCTCAGTGGAGCCTCAGAAGGTTGAGGCTGACAGTTATAAAGTCTGGGATTTCTATACCTCATCAGAACAGGGATTTTAAACTTTTTGAAGTCTTGGGAGCCTTTGTTCAGACAGAAGAATCTTGAAAGGAAGCTTAAACAGATAAGAGCAAGCTGAAAGATGTGACCTGGAGCAAAAGCCACTTTCTGCGGTCTATGGAGCTTCTTGGGAACTCCAGGCTCCCCAGGCCTTCATTTGGAAACCACTGGTCTAGAATCAAGAGCAGAAAACCTAAGAAACACAAGTTGCCCTGCCTCCCCTTCCTGGGACTTCCTCGGATGAAAAGGTAGCAGAAAAGAAAATCTACTCAGAAATGGGTGTCAAGAGGGGAAGGGTACTGAGGAAAGCACTGGAAGTGGGGGAGCACTTAGACAACCTTACCTAAGTCCTCTTTTTCTTCCCCTTCCCACATACAAGCTACAGGAAAGTGGGCCAAGATGAATCCAACGAGAATAATCACAGCATTACCTAGCACACTGCACCTGCTGTCCAAAGCACTTAGACCCCACCCCAGCTCTCTGTGGTTGATGTTAGACCATTTTTACAGATGAGGACACTGAGATGGAAGGGGCCCTGCTGACTTGCCCACTTGTGAATCATTCATGTGTTATCCATTAATAAAAAAGAGGGAATTTGGAAGTCCGCCACCCTAAAATGAGAGAGGTGGCGAGATGAGCGCAGCTCATACACAACACACATCATTATGGTGAGCAACAGAAGAGTGTCTGGTAAACCGTGTCACCTGGTAGCAGAGCATTAGATGACTTTCCCCTTACTCATTTGCACCAAGGATCGGAGAGGGTGTATGCAGCTGGAGTCAAGTGCCCAGCAACAGAGAAGGGACCCTTGCTTTGTCCCTTCAAAACTCACCTCTGTATCTTCTAGATGAACCTTTCCATAGCTGGTAGCAGTTCGAATCCTAATTCTGAAAATTCGAAGAGAAGTAAGGGTCTGTATCAGGTATGGCAGGAAAAAGAAGGCACATTCAAATGGCTTACAGAAAAGGGCTTATTTAGTGGAAGGACTATTTCCACAGGTGTGTGCAGGGCAAAGGGACCTAACTTAGGGGCTGGCAACAGGAAAAAGTCCTTTTAGCACTCCTAGACCAGAAGAAAGAAGGGAGGGAACTCTGAGATAAAAACTAGTGAGAGCTGGAGCCGAGGAAGAGGGGGCATCCAGCTGGAGTTGTAACCACAAAATGCCACCACTGCCAGAAACACAGGGAGGCAGGTAGGAGAGCAAGGAGGCCTGGGAAAGTATAATTTCCACTTCTTTCTCCTCTAGTCCTCCCATCTCTTGCCAGTGCCTGCCATTGGCCAAACCCAATCAAAGCGAGAGGGTGAGGGTGCCCTGATTATATAATTGCTAGAAGTTGGCTTCCAAGACAAAAGGCAGGTTAGAAAAGGGTGGAGAATGAATACTCTACCTAGTACATGGTCCCTAAACTTGTGCCCTTCAAGGCCTTAGAAATGAGAATGGAAAACGCAAAAATCCCTGAACATCCTGTGAGTCTCCTAAGTGGGAGTAGCGGGGCTAGAAATCTATCTACCACTGGAGGGCACAAGCCAGGGAAAGAGGGTGGCGAAGCAATTCCTTTCCAGCTCCTCATCCTTTCCTGTTCACACTTAGTCTGACTGTCTTATTCTTTATCTATAGAGGAAACCAAGGCCCAGAAAACAGAAGGCTTGCTCAAGGCCACACAGCAAGGTAACGGTGGAGTCTGTTTTTGTCAGGCTTTCCAGCATAGCCACTGAAGGGTTGAGAATGGAAATACATGAAAGGGATATTTGGAGCAGACTCCTATGTTCAGGTAGAGCTTCCCCAGGTCACCTGATGGCAATTCAAATGGAATAGGCACCCTACCTCCCCCTCCCGGCCCTCACACATGCACACACAAAGAAGAGTTATTTAGAATGGAATGAAGACACAGGGCTATAAACTCAAGGCCTTGCTGTCTGGGCTCTCTGACCAGCATCAGGGGTGAGGCCTTTTGGAAACCTACAAGTCATAACATGAGGCCTGAAGCCAAAGGGAAGAATGCCACATTGCTGAGTTGCTGGGGTACAGGGTGCCCAGTCTTCCCCATAGAAGACTTCTGGGGACCTTTCCAACTACGTGATATTGTGAGAAGATATTATGGGGGAACTTTGGGCTTCTGGAGTAGATGTTCCAATTTAGAATATTTCCTGCCATGACTTAAGGGTGTATACTGTGGTTCTTACATAAAAGATAAATACAACTATAAAAAGAAGTACTGTATAACACTATTTCTGTGAAAGGACAGAATTTATAAACTTTTTTTAATAACAAGAGCATTCTCAGAATTTGCCTGAAAGGGAAGGTAATTAAC